AATCGAGCACATTTGACTGCCACGTCCTCTGCAGCCAGGACATTGCCAGTTTCCTCTCCATAGGGTTCCATACCCGCTGCTGCAATGTCCACACATCCAACACTATTTGATGCACTCTCTGATGTTTGACACGTAGGCACAGTGCGTGCGGCATCGGATCGGACAAATTCGTTCCCTGCTCCAACTTCCAGCACCCGTCCCTCAAGAAGCCCAGAGCYAGTCAGAGACGGATCATCATCAAGAATATCGCTATGTAAGGCTGCTATTTCAGCGGCATCCTGTTTGATGGAAGGATGTTCCTTCGAGCCGATGTCTTCTAGTGGTTCCCAGTAGGGATCCCAATCTATCCATGACCTCGTACTTCTGGCATGAGCGATGTCAGCAGCTCCATCAGCAGCCGCCATATCATCGACTGAGAGAATCATTTCATCAGAGCGATTTTTTTGACCGTTAGAGAACAACAAAGGATTGGACTCACTGGACTCCATATTCAATCGAGCACATTTGACTGCCACGTCCTCTGCAGCCAGGACAATGCCACTTTCCTCTCCATCGGGTTCCATATCCACTGCTGCAATGTCCACACACCCAACACTCTTTGATGCACTCTCTGACGTTTGACACGTAGGCACAGTGTGTGCGGCGTCGGATAAGACAAATCCTTTCCCTACTCCAGCTTCCACCGCCCGTCCCTCAAGAAGCCCAGAGCCAGTCAGAGATGGATCAGTCAGGGAAATCCGTTTGCCAAATGCGTCATCTTCAGTGGAATAGGTTGCTTTACGAGAATAGGCTGCCAGGACCACAACCAATGCCTCAACGTTCGTAACCAGTGCGTCAGACAAGGAAGCATCAGAAGAAGAGTGTTGAACCAGTACTGAGTCACACTCTCCATCAGCCAGTGGGTGCAAGCTGGCCTGCAGCTCATTGGCTGACATCTCTCTCTGAAGATCTCCTGAAGGCGATCGAGTCAAATACGAATGAGATGTTTCCGTCATATCATATGAAGTTTTCTGGTTTGTCTCATTGGAGGGAGCGCGAGAGCTCCGGTGCATATGGCTACAGTCGTCATCATCACCATCAATATTTTTAGCGCTGCTAAAGTCACCTCCGCAGGATCTTGTGCTAATCAAGTCGGCACTACTGCTGTCGCAAACAGAAGGATCTCCAGCCCCCAACGTGTCGATCTCTGTGCTCCGCAAATCGTTTGCATGATCCACATCCACTCCAGGAGAACTCCAGACTGCCTCTTCCAGATCGCTCACCGTGCTCAGCATGTCATCATTACCTTCCAGGAGGAAACCTTGTGAGGCCTCTAACGCCGCATTTGCATGGTCAGCGCTCCAGCGAGCCCCTGAGTGTTCTACAGAACCATCCGGGACAAAAGCTTGTTGGCTGTCAGTGAAGAAGACAGGGAGCGAATTTGGCAATGCTGACAGTTCTGCAAAGGACAGCTGAAATGCCGAATTCGCTGCAGGCCATCCACCGATGTTGCTGTTTGACTCCTGGCATGTTCCGGTTTGTCCGTCGACCCCGGAAATCGGTGATGGGTTCACTTTGAGGCCAGGGGCTCCTTCTGGATCCACGGAACTTGGTTGCTGACTCGCTCGCAACCCTACAGTTTCATCCAGCACTCTTTCAGATGACTCCAACAATGTTGACACGTCAGCACACACACACTCCTCCGATTGTGAAGACCCCTGGAGAGACGACTCGTTTTCCTTTCGTATGTCCTGTGAACTGCCGATGGACTTGCATCCTTCTTCGACTTTGTCGGTAGATGCAATTTTTGCCAGTGGCTCATCACCGGAAAGGGGGCTTTCACAGGTCATGAGGGCATCTTCTGTTTGCACACCATTACTGGCACCAATCAGCGCTGTAACTACTGGGCGCTCAATTCCAGGGTTTATTGAAGGTACGACCACTGAATCCTGCCCAGCTGCTGGACCACTTCCATTCTGTGCCAGTGATAACTTCTGTTCCCCGACAGAAACTGACGGGTTGATGTCCTGCCTGACAAGCGTTGCAGGAGCAGCTGGCTGCTGGTTTGGTCCACCTGCAATCCCTTCTACTTTCTGATGCCACAGGTCACTGTTTACCGGCGGTGCCAGCCTCGTGGAAGAGGAATATTCCTCATTGAATGAATCCACCGCCAGCAAATCCCTCTTTTCACACAGGGAGTCAGCAGTTGATATGTTGCTGTTTGCCGGCTCATGCCCGTTGATGGAATTGATCGAGGAGGTAGACAACAGAGCAGCATTCATGCGATGGGTGTCATCACTCAAACGACTTTGCTGCTGACAAATAACGTCCCCAATACCACGAAGGCCAAAAAGCGATACTACCTAGAAAAGCCAACCAGACGTGCATGCAAGTGAATGGTTACATGAAGGATAATCCTTAATAATCCTTAATAAACTCTATATATACCGTCACAGAACTATTTGACTAAGAGCATAAGCACGTCAAGTGGGCTGTTATGGCATACGGGGATGGGGGCAGCTCGCGCTCAACTTCATCAACGTGGCGAGCCTCGTACGTTAGAGGCACGGTGGAGGAGGCATTAAGAAGACTGAGAAACTGAATGATTTCAATGTGTCTTTGTTTTTAATTTGTATCCTTTGTTCAGTGTATTTTTTTTTTGGTAAAACACTGAAAGAAATAAGAATACAGTGAAATCAAGAATAAGAGGACACTGTTTTGTGTCCTTCTGGTTTGTCTGTCTCTTGGCCTGTCTGTCCTTTCATTTTTCTTTTCTTCGCTCATCTTATTTCTTCTACATATATATATGTTCAGGTCAGATGTAAGGTGCATAGCATTTTGAATTTTCGCCTTCACCATAAAGCAAAGGCGTCCTTTCCCTCTTCCTTTCAGTTCCTACCCCCCTCTTCTTCACTGTTTTCCTCATGCATCCTCCTCATCAGCATCACGCTCCCCACCTGCCTTGTCCTATGCCTTGTTTGCCCTCTCCTTTGCCTGCCTCTTCTTCCACCTCCTCATTGTGTAGCATGTCAGGGACCTGACCACGTCAAGCCGAGGGCCCAGACACCTTTAACCTATGTGCAGTCAAGGCCCGCACCTTGGACCTATGGGGAGTTCACAGTCTTTGTACTCCACATTTTCTTCCTATTTTTATTTGTCATACATCTGGTGTGTGTCCATTTCTGCATTTGCGTTCTAGGACGTTTAGCTCAACACGGCAATGTTGGACCCATCGACGGTCGGCGGCCCTTGACTGGTCGGCTGCCGACCCGCCGACCGATCGGCTGGTCAGCACCTACCAGTCAGGGGTCATCGGCACCCTGGGTCCAGAACCCCTAATAACACCACCAACACCCCCATAGCGGCCCCCAATACCCCCATACMCCCCCCCAACCCCCTTATTACCCCCCCCAATACCCCTTATATCACCTCTATACCMCCCTATACCCCCCCTATACTCCAACCCCACCCCCCCCATACCCTCCCCCCATCCCCAAAAGTTTCTCAGCGGATTTGGGCTGTACTCGGCAAGCGCAGTACAGCCCCCAACTCAGATTTGAAAAAAAATCAGTGGATGGTTGTTTTCTGACTGGTCAGCTGGAACACGGTCGGCGGTCGGGGTTGGCGGTCGGCAGGGGTGCAACCCTGCGACACTGTACATTTTCAAGTTTTATGCACCCCCTCCATGATCGCATTCACAAAGCTACCGGCTTGCTTAACCTCTCAGCCTAAGGCCCATTCATAACATGGTAGTTGGTTGCACCATCGAGGTAAGTGGCTCTCGCCCTGTGCGCCTCTGGTGTTTACCCCATTGTGGATCACACCCATAAGTGTGGGTACACTCCGGTGGTTCAGGCGCCTCCTTGAGCCGCGTCAATAATGCACAAAGACCATGCAAACACGCATGCGGTTGCTGCAACCCACCCATGCATTCTAAATAATGTTTCACCCAACCCAAGCTCCTTTTAGTCCTTTTCGGAGCGACAACAGTCACCATGCGCATGCATTTCCATTCAAGGACGTTTAGCTCAAGGTAGAGTACCGTGACACGGTACTTTTCAAGCTTTATGCATCCCCTCCATGATAGTACGCGCAGAGCTACCGGCATGCTTAACCTCTCGGTCTAAGGCCCATTCATAACGTGGTAGGTGGTTGCACCATCGAGGTAAGTGGCCCTCGCCCCGTGCGAGGTGAAGAAAATAACCCTTTGGTGTTTACCCCATTGGGGATAAGTTTGGGCAAGCTCCGGTGGTTTCGGCGCCTCCTTGAGCCAGGACAATCATGCACAAGCAACCATGCAAACACGCATGCGGTCGCTGCATAAGTTTGGGTAAGCTCCGGTGGTTCGGGTGCCTCCTTGAGCCAGGACAATCATGCACAAGCAACCATGCAGACACGCATGCGGTCGCTGCACCCCACCCATGCACTCTAAATAATGGTTCACCCAACCCAAGCTCCTTTTAGTCCTTCCGGAGCGACCACAGTCACCATGCACAAGGCCTCCCGAACTCGGTTCTTCCCCAGACAGGCACAGCGGCATCCCACCGGCAAATGCCACACTGAATGTAGGAGGGTGCATGATTTTCAGGATGCCAAGCCATTTTGGGAGCATTTGGTGCAAAACTATCACTAGGTGGACGGGCTGGAGTTCGTTGGCCCATATGTGTAGATAATCAAAGGCCCCTTAGTCTCCAAACCTACTCATTGTGGGCCTTTGACCTGTGATTCGACAAAGCCCCTCATCAGGAATATGTGCCCTGCGGTCAGGAGCACCCCCACGTTCTCAACCTAACCTAAGTGACATTCTCCTCTCAAATGACAGCCGCTTCAAGATTGAGCCATACGCTAGTGTCCTCAACTGAGCCTTGAAGGTGAAGGTAAATAGACAGCATGACACAAACAGAAGAGAAGATAAAGGTCAACCCTCACATTTTTTTACGACACTAAGCACCGCGTGGTGCCTCACTTGACAAGTGGCAGCCCGGGTTCCGATCTCAGAGTTTGGCCCACCTCCACCAAAACAGACTCAAATGCACATCGATCCATATCCCGCACGGAATGTCGTTGACCCGCATGCATCCTCACACCGACCGGCAAACAGGATGTCAACAAGAACGCGAACGACATTATGAAAAAAAAAGAGTATTCAAAAAGGCCCTTTTCCTTACATTTTGCCAAACTCTCCCCCTCATCAACATTCCTTCAGAACTTAGAGAGGACCTCTTCCTCATATTTCGCAAAACATTTCAACGGAAAGTCAACCCATATAAGCCATGAACATAGCATTCCTTGTTGACGGTTACACGTTGCAAGTAGCGTTCTCAACTTTTCAATTGCCATTTTGCATAATTGGGTGATGATAACTCTCTTCATTGCTTGACCCTAAAGGCAGTCGCACTGCTTGTGGCATTGGTGCTTCCTTCGTTGCCCAAAAGTCGTCATGAGTTCCAAAGGATGTTCATGAGGGAAAACAGAAATACGGATTCCATTATTCTTGCAGATACAGAGCACTTAACCAACATTCAGACAAGTGCTGATGGGAGATGGTTAACGGGGTGCCAAATAGTCACCGTTTTCGCCGGCAATTTCGGTGCAAAATTCATCAAAAATGTCAAAAACAAACGATACGGGCCCAATGTGCAGACATCGAAAAACGAAACAGGCCAAAGATAACGGGAAAAAAAAAAAAAAAAAAACACTACAAAACCCTAACACAAAAACACTGTCCAAGTTAAACTGAAGCGTCCAACGAAGTCAACAAAATGCCAACTTTTTCATTATTGATCCAAACATGTCAAAACCGGACACATGATGTACCCTAAAGCACATATATGTCGTACAAAAAGAAAAACAAGAAAAAAAAAAGCAAAAAATCAGCACAATGTGACAGTTTCGGTGCAAAATTCGCCGAAAATAACACCCCAGGTTAACCACAACACGAGGAAGAAACAAAACCTCGAGTCCCTACAGTAGCAACCAGAACTGGATGTTCTCCAAGGCAGCCAGTGGCCGGGTTCCAGTGGCCGGGTAGCTACTGTGGGGACTCCAACCCGGCCACTGGCTGCCTAAGTAATTACCTCGCCATGCAACTTCTGAGGTAGTGTAGTGTGTGTGGGTGACTCGAGGTGAATACTTAGGGAGCCAGTGGCCGGGGTCCCTACAGTAGCAACCAGAACTCTGTCGGTTACTCCCGGCCCCTCTATCTACTACACCCATCACCTCCACCGCCTCCACTGCCCTCAACCCCTTCAATGCCTTTCCTTTTCTCTTTGTTTTTCCAAGCTTTCCTTTATCTTTCTGTCCCCGTCCTTTCTCCTTGTGCAGGGCCCATCGTAACACGAATAGAGTCAAGAGTTCCACCGCTAGACGCGAAGAGAGAGAGCTGAGCCTAGACAGTCGTGGCAAGTCTTTTCTTCGTATCGTTCCAGTGTTCATGGATCGACAGAAAATCTTCTGAAATGGGGAGAAACTACGAGTTCATATACATATTGCAGAGCCAGCCCACCATAGCCTGACTACACACTTCGGACAGCCCTGACGCCCTTTCTTGATTTCATGGACACTGACAACTTGTCAGTTACAGACCATAAAAAACTCAGGAGAAATTTGTTCTCATGCATACCTCAAAAAACAGGCAAAGACACGATGGTCGTGGCACACCTCTGATACTACTACCGTCATCCCCTGAATACAGCGCACCCCCAATATTGCTGTGATCAACCGGAAAGATAGCTTTTATATATTCATGACCAGGGTGCATTGGGTTCAGGAAAAGTCGGTAGTCAAGAGAGAATACGGTCAGGGATAGAGGCAGGTAGGCAGGTTGAGGAAGAAACAAAACCTTCAATCATTCGCATTTATTTCAAAGGACGGACACAACACACACCTTGTCCAACAAAGTCATCCTCTCTAGGATGGACAGATTCTGATACTGCGCTGCTGAAGACGCAAGTAAACGAATGAGACCAGCATCACCGCACCCAGCAAGGACTATCTCCAGTGGCGGCGACTTCACCCACTCGTCTAACTGTGCGGAAAGGCATCGATCAAACCTGTGCAACAATCCAACCAGGAATTCACAAAGCCTGAGAGCTAGTCACCGTGAGGGAAGACTCACCACGACCAGGTAATATCCTGGGCCCATACCTAAGTGTCATGACTTCCTAAGGGAAGGCCTCATTGGACTATGCATGTGTGCAAGGGCTTGCAAGAAAAGGTGGTCCTTATTAGACATGACACGGCATGCATTAGATCCTGTTATGGGAGGCACAACTGGACCTAGCTTTCATTCTGGAGACCCTGGTTAACATTCAGATCTCGATGGGTCTTATTTGTTTTGTTTTTTTCAAAACAGAACCTCTAGGTTCTAGCTCCTTTCCATTCCGGGGAGCAGCAGCGGTCCGGTCCCTATTCCACCAGCAAGTCATAACGATTTACAGGAGATACCCACATTCCTCCCCATTATGGCTGAGAGGCCCGAGCGGATGGCATCGATGGCTTCCCTGAGGAAGGACGTACCACCCCTCACCCTTGCCTGAGTAAAACTCAACGACCTATGTTCGGACAACTGCTAATTGGTGCCCAGTGCTCAGATGCTCGACCCTCTTGTGAACAAAACCATCGATGACCGGAGTTTCTGAAATGCCTTAGGGGCAATCCACATCCTTCAAACCCTAAACCCTTGCCGGCATGACGCTCCATTTAGAACCCTTGCAGTCCTTGTCCTTTAATCCCGATAACCTCGGGGAACGCGACAGACTATCCATGCATCCCTCTGCGACTGACTCATAGGCATCCATCAAATATCAGACCAACGCCCCTGCAATGGTGGCCGGTTTGCCTTGGCCGAGAGTCGTCCTTCCGATGCACGACTTGAGTTCCTGGGCTTCCGCTGGGATCTGCAGTACCTTGTGGCGCACCCTCTTCCATTGTGCACGCGGGTGCGTCGAGGCATAACACCAATCGGGTAAAGGGAGGGCAGATAAAAGGTTCACGGCAGGTGAGGGACGACTAATGATGCAGTGATTCCATAGGATCCTAAGGCTTATGCATGCACCAAGTGCAAAGTATACTCTACAAAAAAGAAAAAGAGCATACTCGGAGGGGCCCTGTCTAGGCACAAGTCGACGAGCAGAAACAGTACAAACATTATTTCGCAGGCTTCGGTGCCGATGCAGGGGCCAGAAAAGGTACCAACATGCCCTTCCAATGACCGGCCTCTGGGCCTGGGACAGACGGAAGAAAAAGCCTACCCAACGGGCCAGCTTAGAATCTGAGACCTGTGGTAACCACTCCACGTACAGAAATGCACCAGTGGTTTGAAGGACCCCCAGGCAGTTAAGGAGAGCCACTGGAAGGGAGTGTCCTGCAGCACCTCAGGAAGGTGGCAGATACTTGCACAGCCCTGGGGAGAAACCACTTCTTGAGGGACGATATCCGCATGCAAGGAGCTTCACAACTTCGAGGGATCTCTGGCATTGAAAAGGGAACCCCATAAAAGCTTCACTTAAAGCGTAAATACCGGTTTCTGCCAAACAATGCAGAGGGCTGTGGGTATGAACAGTGCCTCGACAGCCCGAGCGGTGCATCTTATCCATGCCGGCCCTGTATAGCAGTGTGCTGTTTGGACACTGTGGCAGACACAGGTGGCTTGTGAAGCCCCATACAGCCAGAGGACATCACAACCAGCGGGCCCAGCTCCGTTGGTATCCCTATGAACTATTGAATGCACACCCGAGTTCGAATTGACATACGATCAGATGAAGAGAATTGGAGGGACAAAAAGGACCTGACATGTATCATCCATACACAAACAACACAGCCGTGTGAAATTGAACTGTTTAGACAAGTTGATGTTTGTAGATCGACGAAACCAGTAGCAAATTATTGAAAATTTAAGACAGCAGCAAGTCCTGCAAGAATTATTAGGTTTGAGGGCCAAGCGGTGGGCGGTTGGAAGGATAGCAACTCTGCAAAATCCATGTTTTCAGGCAATCATTGTGGGCAGTCTCAGGGTATACTCACACTAGGACTTCTTTTCTAGCAAGCCATGGGCGTGATTGCTGTCAGATTCATCTAGGCGTGGTCGTAATTGCAGTCAGATACATCTCGAAAAGTCCTAGTGTGAGTATGGCTTCAGAGTGCCATAACAATCACTGAACCGTTTTTCATTTCTTTTTTATTTTTAATTTGGACCTTTTCTCAATCTACGAGTGCCATCCTTGCGCAGAGGCCATGCTAATCCCCTCTGTACCGTCCCAATTTTAAAGGATGACCTGAAGGACAGAACCGTTTTTTGGTTAACTATTAATTTTAATGGATACCCACACCCCTCTGTACTCGTCCAATTAATGGATACCCACACCCCTCCGTACTGTTCCAATTTCGACGGATGTCCTGAAGGACAGTACCGTTTCAGTGCTACCTTCTAAGAAACAAAGTCACTGCACTCTTTATTTATTTTTTTATTATTTTATTTTATTTTTTATTTTTTTTTGCACTCTTTTTCTTTTGACTTATAAGAAAAGGGAACATGTTCAACAAGAATGCCCTTTTCTGCCTTGAAAAATAAAAAAATAACAAAACAAAAAGCAACCGACTTACGTAAACAGATGGGAGCACCACCAAAAGATGCCCCTTCACCGGGATATCCAAGAAAGTTCCCCAGCAAAAAAAGTGCGCCTACTGGGAAACAGGTTCAAATTTAAAACTCCAAATAGCAAACACCATGGCAAGGAGGCCAAGAGGGGGCTGGAACGCCAAAAGGTACACCCGCATTTTTGAAGCACTTGATAAGCGGACGCTTCACATCAAATCTTAGTTCAAACTTCAAATAACAAACGTCATACACAGATCAGCGCAGAATACACTGCATAATAGTGCATAATACTGCATATGCATGAAACCGAGATCTCTGTTATCGTTGGACCGAAAAGAATGCCTTTGCTCTGAGCAGTGAGCCCCCATAAAAAGATACGAACTTACGAAGTTACTACGAATTGATGTAGATCAACCAAACAGAAATAAATTGGATGAAAGCATAATAACCAAGCGTTGTTCAGTCAGCCATCATTCACACCCATGGAAAGAAAAAACTGATCAGGGAATAAAAAGCAACTGAAGATGGACCGACCGGAATCGTCCTCTACTTTCGTTGCAAAGTCCAAGTACAGCCAAGATCGACAACATCAACGCACAACACAAAATAGAATAAGAGAAAGAAAGGCACCATACACTTAGATAAACGAAGCATAATGAAGCATAAGAAAATACGAAAAACGCCACAAGTAATTTCAAATAACACCTACGCCTTATCCCTTTGACTTTATTTCACTTTGGACTTTACAGACCGAAAAACCAGAACTAAGAGAGAAATGAAAAACAACCCGGACAAGGAACAAGAAATCATAGACAACTTCCTGAGAGGGGTGCTAGGGTCCAGAAAGATTGGGCAAATAAACGCAGAACAGATAAACTTTGCCTGCTGCGGGATGATACCACTACCAGCAGGCGAACAGAGCGATGTCTCCGTCCAAAGCATCCCAAACTCCCACATTATCTCGGCCTTGACCCAGCATAGACAACGGAGAAGACAGTTTGCGACCCTCCAGCAAACACGGCTTTTGGAGCGATTCATCTTTCCATGCTCTAGCGGAATTTCGGGGTTTCGGAGAGTAGTGGCAATATATCGGAGTGGGAGGAAATGACATGCACAGGACTAGAGCCTTCCCAGAGTTTAGGGCTTTACCAGGCAGTCTGCCCTGAGCAGACCGAGAGGGATGACTGGAGTCTGTTTTTGAATGTTATTTCAGTGGGAGTCAATATGATAGAGAAGGGTGGTTGGGTCGAACATTGTGTGGGCCATCTGACAGCCATTACTTCCTCAAGGAGTCGATCAATGCTGTTAGGGGTCCGCCGGCCGTAACATGGGGAAGCGTTTGAGTGGGGTGTAAATTCTTGACTTGCCGGTGGAAATATAGGAACCGGACTGACACTCCCCAGAGTAGAAGGGACTGGGCCCAGTTGGATTTCTTTCTTCTTTTTTTTTCAAATTTGGACCATTTCTCAATTTACGCGTGTCATCCTTGTGCAGGGGCCAGCCATGCTAATCTTCTCTGTACCGTTCCAATTTTAACGGATGTCCCAAAGGAGCTGGGCCCGGTTGGGTTTTGAAAATAAACAAATTCAAACAAATCTGATGTCTTGAGAGGAGGAAGTTGAGGAACTTTGTTAAGCCATGAAAAATATGCAGATTGGTGACAAACAGTTCTACATAGTGAATATCCATAATAAAAGGGACATCAAGCCGGTGCCTCGCTCGTACATTCTCTGTACGCTGGCTACTCACAAGCATGTAGCCTTCCGCAAAAAAAACATGTCAGCAGAGAAAGCACTGCCATTGTCCTCTATGTTCAGAAAGGTGCTGGTGCAGAATGTTCCCCAAAACACACACACACACACACACACACACACACACACACACACACACACACACACACACACACACACCTACAGGCCTCTTGGTCCACCATCGTGGCCGAACTTGGTAAATAACAATTCATGAAATCTTGATTGGCTTCAGATACCAAAGCCTGGAGCAATCCCTCCACTGGCGACAATCGTGAAGTTGGTACGCCGCCTTCCTGGCAAAAAAAAGAAACCACGTACATGAGGAAAAACATCGATCAGAAAACAACAGTTCTATGAGATCCACTCTTGGACCTTGTGCTCTCATGACAGACCATCAATTGAAAAGAAGCTTTCAACATCAGTACCTCCAAGCCTCTTTCTGCCAAGACGGATTCCCCCTGGGCGCCAAAGAAAAACAAACCACCATGGAGGTGTTTTCTTTTCCTTTTGGCTGGTTGATGCCACCTATTTTGTTCCATTAGCTCTGTTTGGCCAAAGAACCCGAAGTTTGCATGGCGAGGTACTCGTAGTTTAACAGAGCACTTGGGATCACAGCAGCACCTTACTACCTCATCCCTGCAAACTACAGATTGCACATTCTCGGAACTCAGAGTCAGGTAGTTCATTGCACATACACCATAAT